TTTTTTTTTTTTTTTTTTTATTTATTTTTTTTATTTTTTTATATAAAATTATAAAAAATTATTTATTTTTATTTTTTTTTTTTTTTTTTTTTTTTTTTTTTTTTTTTTTTTTTTTTTTTTTTTTTTTTTTTTGGCCCCCCCCCCCCCCCCCCCCCTTCAGGTTTTGAAGGCTAAAAATGACTCAGAAAAGCTCTCTGCGGCCTAAAAATCATTTTTTATCGACTTTCGAGTATGCTGAGTTCAAACCCGATGAGAACAATTTTTTTTGGAGCCCTTCTGAAGGTTTTTTTTGAGATCTTATTGCCCAGAAAATCATTTTTTTATAGCAAACAAGGGTTGAAAAGCTACAAGATTCCTTCTACATTCTTATTCGTTATAGATTAAAAAAGTCAGGGATGTTGGCCGTTGGTAAGTCACAACGTTTCTCCTTCTCACCACACAGCGTGAGAAGGTGCGAGCGCATACATGCCTCTCACTGTATTATGTGCTTTTCACTGTATGTTGTCACTCTGTGACAGTGGGGTTGTGGTTTTATGTTTAAATCCATTGCTAGTTTCTGAGCTTCTGAACTATTAACGTAGCCAGAAACCGTCATGCCGCTACCGTAAACAATCATGCCACTATCGACGGTTTCTCGAGACCACTCAATTGCGCTACGCATTCATACACCACCGTCGCTTATAAAAAAAATAGTCTACAGAGGCGGCCTGCATCAGATCAGGGGGAGGATGACGCGTGTACAGCCTGGCTTATTGGATACAGATCACCTGGCTGGCTCTGTCCATATCTGGTAATGCATCGGCCCACTGAAGCGTGAAGTTTGAACTTCGTTGCCAACCTGCGCTACCCTTAATCCATCACGCGCAACGATGAGAGTCCAAGTACAATCAAAAATTATAACAACTTGAGAGTGTGGCTTCGGTGAAAAGGCTGAGCACTTCCATGTACCTTCAAACTCAAACTGTTAAAGAAAGCCAGGTAACCTAATAATCCAGAAAATTAGTTTCGAAAAATACTTGAGTTCTCAAGTTTGACGAGTCGATAACAATCGGCGTTTCTATATCGTAGTTTAACGTCATTGTGAACAAAACATTACCTACTTCACAGCGCAACCGTAGTTTTACGTCGTTTCGAACGGAGAAACCCGAAAAGCGGCGTTTTTTCTTAACCTGAATTTTACTCGAAAAATAAATTCTTTCAAAAGACATCAAAAACCACATCGCGCCAAGCAGTTTTTCACTCTGATTCCAAATCTCTGATTATTTTTGAGGAAAAAGTACTTTGGAACAGAAAAAATGGCAAAAAACTCTCAACAACCAGGTTTTGTGGTAACTTATAACTCCGCCCAGAAAGGTTTGTGCTCTTTTATGCTAACCATTTACACGTATCACATATAGAAGAATATTTGCTGAAAGTTTCATCAAGATCGGACATTAGGAAAATTAGGAAAGTCACTTTACTGAGCACGTATTTTGGAAAAATGGTTAGTGTAAGGCAAAACTCTGTTTTTCTTTCACAGAAAAGACACGAACGGAAAACCTTTTTTATGAATCGATAGCGCGGAAGCTCAGCTTTTAGAATATGTTCCATTTTTTAAAATCTTTTTCATTCGATGAAAAAACCTTTCTTGCAGAACTAATGTGAGAAAAGACCGTTTTTCGTGGCTTACCGTTCTCGACAACGTTAAGCACTGGAGCCAAATTTTTTTCACCATTAAATCGACCGTTCGCTAGTGTGTATTAGGTACTATTTGAATCTCGAAAAATCTCACTTTCGTGTTTTCTCCAAATGTCCGCTTGACTGCCCATTGTACGTCTGTAGTTAAAGTCTTTAAAGTCTGATACATTGAGAAAGAAGGAAGGACCCCGCCTTGCGGCTATCGTTACCTGTGTAGGGTGCTGCCGAATGGCAGTTTCAATAGCCCGATATCTTCCCTGTAGTTGACAAGCTTCTGAATTGGTCACCCATCTCGTTACTATTCATCAACCACAGCTCTGGACAGAAGGCTAGCCTGATGCAGAGTTCTTTTCGCCCAATTATTTGAGCTCCTCATACACACTTCACTAACCACGTACAAGCTTTCCGGAAAGCCACGAGGACTAGCCGGAGAAGCTGTATTATACGTCACATGTTGTGAGTATGCTGTCAGACGGGTGATCCGACGCACTAAGACATAAGTAACTTGCCCAAGGTTATTACATGACTTTGCTGGCGCCGAGGTTCGAACACAGTACCTTTGAAGTACGTGACGAACAACATAACCATCGATACATTGAGAAATTGATACATCTGCTAATTATCGATCGACTCGATTCTTGTTATATACGGCATTGCTGTTGTTACAGAAGTTTCTGCTGCTGAAATGTTTAGTTTTATTTCTTAATAGTGTAATAGATATCTATGAAACTTTATGTTCAGAGTTTTTAGGTGGTGGTCGTTCAACTCCGATTTAGTTTTTTTCCAAAATATATTTACAAACATCTAGTGGAAACCTAAAGAGTCTGTTAAATATTAATTGTATCTTCTTTTAAAAATTCAAACAAACTAGAATAGTGTCTTTGAAAATCATTCTTCAAGCACCTTTAGAATACATTTAGCAGAGATTAAGAGCAAAGTATGTATTGTCTACCTAATGGCACAAACCTGAAAAAGTTTCTCATAATAAATTTTATCATGAGAAGCAATTCCTTCATTCACGCATTTACTCTGAAACCTTCGAAGCTCCTCCCTCGCTCGAAATATTAGCGAAAAAATTCTTATGACTCAACGACATGTCGATTTCTCATTATAAGAGACTAATTTTTTCTTGATTGTTTTAAAACCTTGATAGTTCCAATTGATACATAGCACAGAAAAGATGTTGCTCATATACAATCGACATACAAGTTCATTAAATTCTGTATGAGTTTATTTAAAGCAGAAATCTTCTTTAAAGATGAAGTTAAAAGAATACAAACAAAATACTAAACCAATAAAAATATCTAAAAATTGTCACTCAACAATTCATAACAATCAATAAATAACGTTTCTTTGTAATTAGAATTCAACTGGGCAAACATCTAAAGCGAGAAAAAAATGATATAGAGCAGAGGAAGGCGAGTACACACTTTTTCGCGTATGAGTACAAGCTCGAGTATTTAGTGGTGGGCACGAGTACAGAACAGTTTTACTCCAGTATGTACTCGATGGCTTGTCCAACTAACGGTCTCCTTTTTTCGCTCTTTTTTCAAAGAACTATGGCAATAAAGTTAGAAAATAATCTAAAATTGTAACTAGATAATTCAGTAGATTAAACATTTCTCTATAAAATGAAATGAATCTCAGCTCTGAACGTTGATTCGTTATGAAAATACAGCTGTTGTACAAACAGCCCCAAAAATCGATGTTGGGGCTATCTAAAAAGCGTGTCTAAAAGAGTGAAGACGAGCTGGCAAAAAATGAACAAGTATACCAGTTTGTAGAAAATTGTTTGCTTTCCAAGATGTGATAGCTTGTCAAGTTCGAAACTATTCAAGCTACATACATATTGAAAAAGAGCGAAAAAAGGAGACCGTTAGCTGGACAAGCCATCGAGTACAAAGTTTTTTAAAAAAGACAGTATTGTTGTCAGAAAACTTTTCGTGTGATGATAGTATATCGATCAGTCTCTTCTGAATTAGTCTTTCTTTTTTAGTTAAATAGATTTTCATCCGAATACTCGAGTACACATTAAAAAAAGTTACGAGTATAAGTATCTAAAAATTTTTACTTGGGTATACTCGTACTCGCCCATCTATGATATAGAGTAACAGTAAGGATCTTTCTATTTATATCTGCTTAGTTTCTTTACCTAGCATACAAAACACACTTCTACATGTCGGGCACATACAGGTCGAGCTTAACCATGTTTCAGGTCTTGTTTGATCCTTAATAAATAAAATAACAAATTATTATAAGACTTTATTCAGTAAACGCAATATACCTGTCGACTAGCAAACCACTTTCCTAGACATTCGATACCTTAAGAATAAAACAACATTTTTGTTAACTAGAGAGATAATGTATGGATAAAACAAATAACTTACACCACATTGGTTTACAAAAGCAGGTACGACACTGACCATTATCACCAACATCGCATCTTTTCATCAATTTGACATTTGCATTATTCACGAGACAACCAATACAAGTTTCAAGTTCCTTGAAAAACAAAACAATATCACGCATTAATTTAGATATATTCTTTTTAGTATTTTATATAAACCTGTTGATTTGGTGGATATCGATATTTTGGATTATTTGCAATATGACGACGAAAGTCTTCGAGAAACAAATCGCTTAGTGATTGTCGTATGACAATATTTCTGGCATTTTGTACGGGTGATTGTAATTTGCTTCTCAAATCATTAAATTCAGATGCTTTAAGTCTGTAAATAAAAAACAAAAGTTTATTGAATATATATTTTATATGAGCAAAAAACAAAGAAGATTTTACAAACCTAATAGTAAACGGTGTCACTAAGGGATTTCCACTTCTCACCAATATATTTAAATATTGTGTAGTGATTGTCTCATTTTCTTGTAAATTAACATCATTAGCATCTGTTAGTTCTATATGAGCATTGGATTGTTGAGCAATATAAACATTGTATAAACCACATTTAATTATCCACGAATCGAGAACATATGATCGATTATTCGGTGTTCCACATATAAATTTATCAATGCGACGAAATTCAGTATTTATACTTGATTCAACTGCATGCCATGTATCAGTTTCTTGAGCAAATGCTCTCAATTGACGAACAACTACAACGCATAAGAATACTAGTGTCATGCTCAAGCAAAATAGACGGTTGTTTGTTATTTTTTTGACATACTTGGATGTGTATAACAATCATTTTGATGCCATCGTATAAGTGTAATAATAACCACAAAAGGAATAAATAACGAAAGAATTATAATACATTGAAAAATAATATTAATATCCGAAAATAGAGATTCCAATGTATTAATTAAACCATTATTTAAATTATACTGAGAGATAAGAAGAATAACGTAGCCTATTGGTAATAAACTTTGAAAAAAGATCTTTAGAGAAACACGTTTAATATGAAAACGAATAAATGCAATTTCCTCACTATCTAACAAAAATGAAAATACATTTTGTATTGAGAAACCAGCAGCGACAAGTTCATTTGGTGGAAAAACAATGATAAATGAAAATAATAGATATAAAAATGTTAAAAATAATAATTCTGGGCTATCATCTGAAAATGATGACATGATCACGAAACAATAAAATACATATCTATAAAAAATAAATCAATCATTATATGAGATACAAAAACATAATATACATAAGCCAAAATACATAAAAAGCGTTTTGATATTCGCCTCCTTAACTCTTTAAATACAAATGCAATTTGTCATGACAATGTAGTATAATCAAAATAAAATGTCTACTTTTTCTTCCATTTTTCATCAACAATTTTCATCCAATTACAGTTACCATCCTTAGACGTTAGAATACTTAAAAAGAAAGTCACAAATACTAATTGTGTTGTTGTAAGAAAGAAATATCTGTTATTACTATGAAACTTGTTTAAATTTATCAAAATCTCGGATTTTCAATTAAAAATTTGTTGAAAACTACAACGTAAATCATAGAAAAAGTAAAAATAAGTGATAAATGTTGTTATTGTTTTTCTTGGACAAAGATTAATGACCTGAAAAAATTTTTTTCAAATGTTCCGCAGTTACTGGATAATGTGTTTGAGGACAACATTTATATTTCGTTACATAATCATTGATACAAGTGTAGCAATAAACGTAACCGGATACAGTCACCACTGTGGGAATTTTACATTGGTTTTTACATAAAGGACACTGACGTTTTGCAATTGTATTATTACTAACTGTTGGTGGAGGAGGAATTGAATCATTTAAAGATGTTTGCTTTCTTGTATTACTCGTACTATTCCACCATTCAAGGAATTGTATTAAAAATAAACCGGTTGACAATGTTTGACTAAAAAAATGAAATGTTTGCATTACTTTTGAACTATTCTGTATTTGTTGTTGTTGTTCTTGTTTTTTATTATCGTAAGTTAATTTGACGCCGGCTAATTGTAAAAATGGACTATAATATTCAATGCGTCCAAATGCATATCCAAGACGATATAACCAACATAATGATTCCAAAAAAGTATGAATTTTTGGTACAAATTTGAGAACAAAAAAGAAAAAGAATTGTTTAAGTTTTGTTTTTTTTTCTTCTTGTGTACCAGTTTGTTGTCGATATTTTTCATATAATAATTCTAATTTTTGTTTAATATACGGTAAAAAGACAGAAAATATAAGTGAACGAATATGATGATTTGAAGAACGTTTAAGTCCATAAAAATGTTCACCAATCAATGATGAATAAGTTTGTAGATAAACACTTTGTATTAATGTTTCAATTAGTAAAACACATTCATCTTTATAACGATACAATAACATAAAACTTTTTGATAATGGACGCAAATCATGCAAGAATTTGATCAATTGACTTAAACATGGACGTAATAAATAGGTCAAACGTTCTTGTGCAAGTAATTCAAAAATACTTGGTAACGGGTTTTGACTAATTGTTGAAAAATTGAGCGTAGAATTAATATTTGAGGTATGATCGGTGGTAGACATAACTCTGAAACAAATTACAAAATATTTTTCATTTCTACTACAAGAACACAATATTCTACTAATAATACTACATAATTTTTACTACAATACACAAATATCATTAAACATATTGGTGAAAGAATACGTGCTACAGAAAAATGTAAATATTTTTAAAATTTTTTATTCTACTACTTGTCGGAAAACAGAAATTGTATAAAATGCTATCCGTGCTCGTAAGAATAATTTTTTTTTCCTTAATTTGTAAGCGTATATCAAAGTTTCCAAACACTGACAAAAACAGATAAGAAAAGTATCCCTGTAAACAAACAATAGGATTAACTAAAAAAATATGAGACGCAGAAGTAGGATACAAACCTAGAATAATTAGCAATAAGATAACTTCCTCTTTCTTGTTGATTTTTGGGAACTCTCTAACGGTCCAGTATATGATTAAAATATATTACAGTTTTGGGTTAAAATAAACTACAATCAATGTGAGCTCTTACCTTCTATGCGATAGACGTTAGTTTATTATTACTGCAGCCTACCTTGATCCAGTAAATATTGAAGGGATGTATATGATTCATTCTGTTGAAAAAAATCTTGGTGAAGGTAAATGTACACATATGAACGTGTAATCAAAGTATACAGTACCCTAACACAATGAAATGCACATTTCATTTAACGATGTGATTTAATTGGATCGATGAGCTGCTAACAGAAAAGTAATTGTGTCATATAGGCAAGGGAAAAAAAGACGTGCTTATTAAGTAGATGAAAACAATTGATAGGTATACCTCAAGTTAATCCATCAAGGCCTTATCTATTTTTTTGTTTTTATGTATGTAAAATCACCACAATATTCAATGACGATCTTCTGTGAGATCAAAAGTCGATATGCTAAGAGACTAGTGGTCGAGTATACATGCTGAGATGAATACAAAGAAATGCACATTAATTGTCCTTGACAATTCTACTTTCTGTATGTTAAATGCTGTCCACAATTTTTAGATATTTTCATAAATATTTTTTTTCCTGTGTTAAATAAACGAAAATTAATAAAAACACTACAATATTAAATCTATCAGTGAAAAAAAAGAATCAACTAGTTTATCCTTTAAACTACACAGACAACAACTCTCGGTAATAGTTCTCAAGTATTGTAGAACTAAATCAATACTGAAGTGACAGATCATTTGTCAAGATAAGTTAGAATGACGCTGTAAAGGAAGTTGTCATTGTATGTTTGTAGGTTGTACTTGTTTATTCTTTATAAAAATTCTACATTTTAGAATGAATTCTGGTAAACGGCTGGCAAAAACGCCACAGAATAATAAGAAAAATATCTTCTTGATCTAATGCGAATATTTTCTCTAAACTTTCTTATTATACAATTTTGACCAGTTAGAATGTCGCTTTAATCATTCTACAACGATATCCTTGTGGGTTATCTAAACATAAATTATCTTGATCCTTGCTGCCAGTAAAAACAGATGTCAAGTATATTAAAATGATAAACCCCCTACACTAAAAACTGGTCTGCAATACACAAGTTAATTCCAATTTTTGTGAGTCGATTGGTTAACGATAACATATGCATCGGCATGAACTCTAAAAGCCAATAACAACCGCTCTTTATGATTTCACCACTAAAAATATAGAGCAGGGCCACCCTAACGGTGTCATTGATGAAAATTCAGCGTTCGATATATAGTTTGATATCATTCTGTAGAAAGCTTCGAACACTATTTGTTAGTCTTTTATCTTTATGGGCTTGAATATTGTTTGAGTTCGTGGCTCGGCATCTTATATCCGCATTAGTATGTCACAACTAAAATGACACTTCGACTTACTGAGGCCCAACTGAAGTTCTCATTGGCAGGTTAAGTTTGGTAGAGAGATGATAATAATTCATTTTCGAAAAATAAGTTTACTCATCAAAACAAAAGTGTAGCGTAGTAGATGGGATCTTAGTAGTTCGGTCACATGCCGTGCTGCGGTGAAGACATGTGTCTTAAAGACTACACGTTCGGAAATTAGTGTTATAACACTGTTATAACAGTGAATGCAATAATAAAAAAAATGCGTTGATTGTGGAGCTTTGTTGTCGATGTATATTCAACTACTGTTGTTGTTGGTGACGCAGCGTCATTACAGCCAATAATGATGCAAATGCGTTTGCCTCCATACTGATAAGAAACACTTAAACTGCATGAATAAATTACATCGGTTGATAATTCTGTTTTTTTGCCTCAAGTGTATCTTGAACATAAAGTACTGAAGGAAAATTAAGCCTGGGAATGCTTTAATTTTCCAATAATTTCGGCAAAATTTGAAATTGAATAAGCAAAATGTTAATTACGAGAAAGTTTATTAGAGGGTTTTCAATTTTGATCTACATCTTTGAAATATCCCCTGATTATATTTTTCGAAGTTTTTGGACTAGAGCTAGTTACAGAGGTTTAAGTATTATTTAACCTTTTTTGAAAACGAAATTTTTTGACTTTAAAAATAAAACTAGCTGAAAAATATTTTTCCTGATTGGTGTCTCCAAGTAAAAATACTCTAAGAGGAGTGTCATGACCTCTTCTCATCACTTTCTCTGACATAAAATATTGTATTTTTTTGCTGAAAACTCGGGATAATAGTTATTTGTAATAAAGCCAAAGACTAGTCACTTTGGAATAAATATTTTCAAGCTCAAGTATATTCTCATTTTTCAGTCGATAAAAGAAAAATAAAAGGTCATAGATATTAAGACTAGTTTAGTCACGAAAAATTAGAGTCATAAATGCGAACCCCGCTCGACTTCATCTAAATTTTATTACGACGCACATACTAAATACTAAAAGTATAGAAAGATAAGTTTTTGAATGAAAAAATGGCATTTTTTTCTGAGTAATTTTCCTTCGGACATCTCTGCGTCAATTTGATTCTCGTAAGGGGAAACAATAGATGATGAAGGATGACGTACTTATACGTGGTCCCTATCCTAGAAACCAAATTTTCAAGCATTTAGAATGAGACTATCATGTCGTCAAAATCGGGAAGAAATGGCTGATAAAGCGCAATTAATCCCGATTTCCAGAGAAAATCGTCGATAAAGCGATAGATTTTTTAGAAAAATCTATGATTACTTTCAATTTCAGCAAGAATCGCGCCTGATCGTCGATTTTCTCTCAAAATCGTGATTAATCAGCAAAAAATTCTTAAAAGTCGCGATTAATTGCACTTAATCAACCATTTCGTCCCTATTTGACGACATGGGATAATATCTGATAACTAACATCCTAACGGCGTTTTCTTATCTATTAGGTAATTGACTTTTGCTTAAAATCTTACTTCTAAAATGGTCGATGGTTCTAATAGCTCAATTGCTCTTGATGAACCGAGTAAACTTAAACAATTTTCGTGGGAAGAATGGGATTCACAAAAAGTTGCTGTTTTGTTTAGGTAAGAAATGAACTTCTTTATTCATTGAAGTTAACAGATTCTATTTCTGTTTTAACACTATTTTAGGCTAGGACCAGATGGTTTACATCGAATCGTTGTTCGCCGTTATATAGAAACTGTTTTTGCTTTATCTGATAAATGGAAACAATTATCATATTATTTTGGTTCTATACCACGTATAAAATCATACGTAATAACAACGAACGAAGTTGATTTAATGAATCGTATTTGTGAATGGCATTTAAATGAAATTTATAATGTACGTTTTACACTAAATACTGATCAAATGATAGAATGGGATGATCTAATGAACTTTATACAAAATGCGCAAAATCATTTTCGTACATCAGGCGATTTTAAAAATGTTCGTACACGTTCAAAAACCGTAGCATCAATTCCTATTCAATTATCACAATATGTTGAGCATAAAAAATGGATACCACCATCACCAATTGCTTATGAACAACAACCAGTTCACCACATTACAAATTGCTCAAAAATTTCAACACCGATAACACAACAATCAACTGTTAAATTAAAAACAAATACATCTTCAATAGATGTTACTCCTAATGGGAAAATGCCAACAATAAATGATACGAGACAAATAAATGAACAGACACAAAAACAAAATGCCATCAAATATCCACAGACAAATTCTATCAAATCGCCTGCAAATCATGACATTTTGATAGTGCATAATAATGATCGAACAGTGAGTAGTCCAATCTCGTTACCAATTGTATCATCGACTTCATCTAACAATGATCGACATTCAAATAACGAATATCGAAACATAATACCACGTCCAAATATAAATATAAGATCAACAGATTCCTCCAATATGTTATCACAATCATCGCCACCAACACTTCAATTATCTGCTGGTATGCAATATTTGCTATTTCATTTATTTCTGAACGTAGGAAAAAATGCATCGATCAGTTAGTTACTGTAAAAAAATTTTTGTTAGTATTAGGTAACGTTTGTCTTCTGTACTCCATGTCGAATATCAAGCTTATAATAATAGACGTGTGTGTTTGCTACGATGTATGAAGCACTGCTTTTAACTGATTGGTTCTAAAACTGTCACCTTACTATATTTGCTTTCAACTTTACATTTCTTTTTTTAGGACTTACAAACGTTCCTTTGAGAGGATCGCTACACAATGCCGTCTCGTCAGTGCCTAGCTCATCAACTGATCGAAATGTAAATAGAAATTCATTATCAAAAGATCAAAATGCAACGAGAATCACTTCTACATCTCCAATTACGTCCACGACGAATAACATCCGTAATAATACCAAGAATAATTCATCTTGTTTACAAAATGGTTGTGATAAGACCAGTTTAGGACAAAAAGACAACGATGATTTATGGGATGAATTATGTCCAAATGCATTGCGACATGCCAAGATTACAGGTTCTGGATGGGTACAAATAAACAATGTCTACGTGCCATATGTAACCAAAAATCATCAACGATTAGTGCCTTATCAAGTTTTATTGTCATGTAAAATAGTTGAATCCGATGAGTATCTTTTAAAACAATCCTTGACAACATCAACAATGGATGATGCTAGATTAATGAATAAAATGATTCATGAAGCGTAAGTATTTTCTTCTTGATTTATGTGAGAAATCAATATCTATTTTTGTTTTAGTAAAATTAATAATGAAGAAATAACCGATAATTCGCCATTGGTGAATGTTTATAATGTTATGGTTGGAACAAAAAATTTAATTTATGTTAAATTATTACCAAAGGATAATCCAACATCAAAAATCAATCGTCAATATAAATCGGTATTATCATTGCGTGGAGGAACAGTTTATATTGGTCATCGTACTATACCATTTGTATGTGCTGGAAATCATAATTATGTGCCGTTTCAAGATATTATTGCTATTTATCCAACATTAATGTCACAATTAAAACCAATATCTCGTGTACCACGGATGCACGAATTAGATTATCTTAATCTCGTTAAACTTTATTATGCCGAAAATGATCTATCATCAGATACTTTACTAGTGGATATGACTGATTTAAAACAATCACAAATCATAATACCATCAAGAAATATGACATTAACTGAACATCATCTGAGAGAAAAGCAAAAATTAGAAACAGAACTTAGAGAAAAAACTTTATCATCTACTGGTATTAGTCAGAAACGTAAAGCTGATAATGAACTAGTCAACAGTCAAAAACATGTCAAAACAAATTCATCATCTAAACAACAAACATCTTGTCGTTATCAAACTTCACAACCGCAACCACAGCAACAGCAACAACCCGTACAATCGACAGGTAAACGTTATACGACATCCGTAGTAGCACCTAATCCTCGTTCCTATTTTACAATGCAACAACCACAACCATATTATCCATCCAGCACAAGAACGCATTACTAATTGCATTTATTGTTAACTGATGTATACTATTCATTTTTACTGTATATATATATATATATATATATATATAAAGAATAAGATTCTTGATTTTCTCTCAATCTTCTCACAAATAGGTGCTAGTTTTTTGCTAGATATCCTTATATCAGAAAAGTTTATGATAGTAAATGGAACTCTACCAACTAAAGTGATTGATCATTCAAGAAACTTAAATAAATGACTACTTGTGATTTTTGTTTGTGATATTAACTTTTAAAAGGATATTTTTTTCTCTTAATGTAAACAACAAAGATCAAACCATGTATTTGTTTTTCTCTCTTTCAGACAGTGTATATGTATATGTTTATACTCCTATATTTTTCTTGTTCCATAATGATTCTTTTTTCACATGTGTCTTGACTTTCTTCTTGTTGTTTAAATTAGCTTTACGATTCAGATAGTTACTTTATAGATGAATGGTTTTTATTTGAAATGCATGAGGCCTCTCTAAGCTTATTTATAAAAGTTTAAGAGAGTTTCAATTTTTTTTGTTTTTGTCCCTTTTCTAGATTAAAAAGCGTCAAACAATAATGCATTTATATACCCAGATGGGAAAAAATAAACCGTGAGTTTGATTTTTAATATATCTTTTTTACTATTGATGCTAGAGAGTCAGTTCAGGCGTCATTCCAAAGAGCAGATATTTTAGACATTACTATATATAAAAAGAACTAATACAGAAGACTACTCAAGTTTTCGAAGAAAAATTCTTTTCTGTGGTCTTAAAGTGTTGTGTTACTGGGTCATCAAAAGCGACATTAAAAATTGGAAATCTAACCCTATTATTGTACCGGTCATAGTTGTAGGCTTCAAAATACAAAGGATTAATTATCTGATAGTAGTATGGTTTTTATTATAGCGACTCGTTGATTGGAGTTAATATACTAGTACAATAAATTTTCTTTACTAGTATATGTGATGGTAAAGAAAACGCGTTCTACTAGTATATTAACTCCAATCAACGAGTCGTTATAGTAAAAACCATACTACTATCAGATAATTAATCCTTTGTATTTTGAAGCCTACAACTATGGCCGGTACAATAATAAGGTTAGGTTTCCAATTTTTAATGTCGTTTTTGATGACCCAGTAACACAACACTTTAAGACCACAGAAAATAATTTTTCCTCGAAAAACTTGAGCAGTCTTCTGTATTAGTTCTTTTTATATATAGTAGTGTTTAAAAATATCTGCTCTTTCGAATGGCGTTTGATTTGACTCTCTAGCATCAGTAGTAAAAAAGATATATCAAAAACAAAACTCGTGGTTTATTTTTTTCCCATCTTGGTAAACTAGTTTTATTAGCACCAGATTTGGCAATTCTGTCTGTTTGTAAAGTTTTTCTTCACGATCATATGATACATAGTACAATGAGATGATATTCTAAACTGGTCAATAAAAAAAGGGTTGTAACTCTCTTTTAAATTTTCATAAATGAGCTAGTAGTAGACACTTGTTTAAAAATAATCTCGCAACGAATTTCATGAGACTAAAACTGGAAGTGAAGGTAAAAAGCATAGAATAGACGCTTTGATATTTATTACTTTTTTTGTTTCAAAAAAGAGCAATTACTGGTTAAATCATGTTTTTTTAATGAAACTACGTTTTCCTTTATACTGTTGTGTGTCAAGTCATTTGTTTATATTTTGTATTTGTTATTTGATGTTCATCACTATACTTTTCGTTATACCATGTTTCTTTGTGGAGAGGATATTAATGATGCATCTCTGCGAGAAAAAATCGACCAAAATCCATCATAAAAAGGTTATTTTCCGGTGTGCATAACAGCTTTTTTTGTTTTCCTGTTTTTCATTTTTCACGCATCCGATCACTTTCTCTATACAATTCAACATTTTATCTTTAGAAGTAAACAATGGATGTAATATTGACGAAGAAAATCAACAACGGAATCATTTATCATCGATTGTTTCCGTTGAATCATTTGAAAGTATTTAAAACTTCTAATTTTTTTAAAACTGTACTCTGGTTGAGATTCTTGTTTGCTGCTTGTACCATTCTCATCATTGAATTTTATAATGCGCAAGAAAATCAACTAGATGGTTTAATTGTAAACTGATTATTATAGCGTATTTTCGACATTTTTAGATACATCGCTAAAGAATAATGGAAGTTCGAATAGCGATACAGGATCAACACAACAGCAGTTAATCAATGTCCCATTATCGGCTAATTCTCAGCTAGCGACATCAAAGAATAAATTGCTATTTTTCTGACTATATCAGATGGTAATATTTCTAACGGGAATAAAATGAGTAATTCATCTCGTGCCATTCTAGCCTCGAACTTGTTTTTTTCTGATGAATATCATTCTTAATTCTGGACATTTTTATTGTAGAGGATAAAAAGTGATACAACAAATTGTCAACAGAAGGAAACATTGAAGCGATTGCTCGTTCAATCGGCTGTAGTAAGAAACAATATAAACAAGATACAGTTTTCTAATAATAATAATGTCATCAAATAACGTATAAAATTACTTCAAATTGATACTAACGAAGAGATTAAGTCAAGAAAATTTTTTAAAATTAATGGATCTAAAATCTGTCCTCGATCATCACTAAACAAAAACACATCAACCGTTAGTATCACTCATCCTATAATTACTACGTCGCTTTCAACACCAACAAGACTCCAAATAGCAATAATCAATCCTTTATCAGCACTGTCATTAAAGCCACCAATTAACATAACATTAGCGCCACTCAGAATCAACAGAATTCTATCAGTAAAATTATGTGCAGCACAAATCAAACAAATGCAATTTATTTACCAGCAGCATTCTCTTATGTTTTAACTAACACAAGTAAGTGTTCGAAAGATTTTCCGAAACATTTGAGTCAAATATGTTAATGTTTAAAATGTGTGAAGTTTTCTAAAATGAGCTACCTTTTTCCATACATTATCTTGTGCACATGTTGATAAATAAAATTCAAAACTTATTTTCTCCAAATTCACTATTAACAGTTGGTCCAATGAGATAGTAAATAACTCCAATTTTAGCTTATATTATCAACTCTAAACATTTTGACAGATCGTTTCTAATTGGTCGTACACTTTTCTCTGTTTAGATCAGACGCTATTGAAATTTCAAAGCTTATGAACGACGTTCGCATCCACAGTCAACTCATCCCATTTGTTGTCTGTTCCAATTATGTCAAAAGTTCTGATTTCTCAATCCAGTGTAATTAATACACCATATAAAACGTTTACTTCGGTTCAAATTGATTCAGCAGCATTTGTTTTAGCTGAAAACAAATCATCATTAATTAGAATTACAAATCCAACGATACCTCTGGAAACGAATATATAATCGGTTCTTAATAACAAAATACAGAGAAAAGAGCCTGTTTAACTCAGCAAGTTTATCTCGGTAAAACATTTGATTGTTTATCAACTAATAATGGTCCAGAGCGTGTATCATTATCGAAAATAATAAAATTGTTTTTTTTCTGATGTTCGTCAATGACTATTCGAATGATATTGTCAATATAAATTAAAAATGAATATAATTAATTCAAATACTCATGAAACAAAATGATTACGAAAATATTATGTTAGTGGGAATAAAAAAAAAGACGAACTATTGGATGATGCATTTATTTTGATAATTTTATGATGAATTATAAAGCATTGGTTAGATACAACAAACATTTATAAAAAACACGGAAAAATAAAGGAAAGAAAAAACAATAACAAATGAAATTAAGGAAGAATATCAACTAAAACTAACTGATGAGTGTTAGAGCTAATTATGGTCACGATACACCGATGTGGACACAAAAATTATATTAAATGGTTGATAATACAGAATTAAGAAAATAAGCAAACGAGAAATAATTTTTATTTTTCGTATTTAGAAACTAATAGCTGTTAATAGAGGAGAGCAGATTGATAACGTTTGTCAACTTCTGTTTTTTTCGCTTTTTGTACATTCTCGATTAAGCCGAAACTTAGAGCAAAATTGACTTTTGAACCGACTGACAATTTGTCAATCTGTTTATATCTCTGTATGTCAAACAAACTTCTGTGGTAACACGGCCTTTTCGTTGTTTAAATGCGCACAAAACGTTCAGAGCAGCAAACAACAGAATCACAGAAATCTCTTGCATTTTGTAAAGGCTATCGTAGAACGGTGATCAGCAACATGTAAAATATTCAAGCATACTTATTATTAAATTTTCTTTTCTATTTTGTGTCTAAACCGTAGCTGCCACCTTGTCCAGACAAATTCTGATTTTTTGAATTTTTTCCGGGATTTGTCCGGATTTTGAGAATTTCCTGCTTTAGCTCCCTGATCGTGAAGATTTTTAAGTGTTTTTTTATCTATATAGTTTGTGGAGGTTGCTTTTCTCATATTATAGGTCAGCTAAAGTGCCAGTTACTTTTCGGATCAAAAATATACATTAAAAAAACAGCGTGTCGATTAAAATAGAAATTTATCTTTATGTTTACTGTTTTCTTCTATATTTTATCGGGTAAAATCATATAGAGCTAGAAAAAGGTTAAATAAGGCAATGAGAATGCATTTTTTTTTTGAATTTTTGACTTTTACAGCTGGCAGCACTGGTCTAAACGTTCATTTCAGTGTTTACAATCTAGCAGTGATAATGAAGCCAATTTATTTGATATACTAACTACTACGTTTGTATTTGATACTGTAGACAATATCAATTCAACATTATTAAATGAACTCTAAGAATTCGATTTAAATCTAAAAAAGTTGAGTGAAGTTAGTAATGATGATACGTCAGCATTTGCCTATAGTGACCATTTTAATTAGCTTATTAATGAAACAAAGTTCACTAATAGTTATGATGATAAACTGCTAATGAATAGAAAGTATCGTATGTTATCAAAAATAGAAGGAAATTATGGTAATAATCAATCATTCCACAGCTCTAGCTGAATAAATAAGAGTAATTGTGAAACTGTTGAAATAGTTATGGTCGAAGTGATGCTCTTATTAAATCTTTTGTTCGAACAGATTATGTAATTAGTCATGTATACACGGGTTTCTTTTATTTTATAATTGCTATGAAGTTAATTTTTTTATTTATATAAGTTTTGTTGATTCGATGTTTTTTGTAATTATATTTCGAAATGAGTCATTATTTCAAATTATTTTGTATACACGACTTTAATGAACTTTTTTACGGCTATCTTGAAGAGTATTTTATTGTTATGTTTTTTTCAGACTTCTCTAGAAAGATACGTTTAAATGATTCTTGTTAAATAATTATACAAAGAAAAGTGGTGAGAAAACTTTGATCAATAGTGTGAGAAAATACTTTCAACTGATATTTGATTTAACGTGTTTTTGATTATTTTAGCATCGGTTATTCTTGATTAAAATAGTTTACACAATGGAAGAGGAGCAGATAAAGTAACACGTAAATTTGACTCAAAGTATAACGTAAAATGAGTAACGTTCAAGTACTTATCCTTTATATGAAAGGTAATTTTACGCGTTCTCTTATTTGCCTTACTTATTTATCATTGTTATCGAACAAAAGTTAAAGTGACTAGTAAACGTAGTATGAATGCATAAAGGGCACTCACCAAATAAAAGAAAAATCCTTCACAGGATATCATTCAGCTGATAAAACCCTTTTTGTATTCGTCTGACTTGAACCATTTTGTTTTCCATTCTTTTGTTTCTAATGAAAACATTTTCAAATAATTATTAATTCATTGAAAGTAACATTAAGTTCTTATTGTTAAAATCAAGTGCCACTGGTGTAGTAAAAAAAGCAACAACGATTGTATCATTCATTTCCGGTTAACATTCTAATATGTTAGCATCTTGAACATTTGTTGAAAGTAACTTCAAGACATGACTTAACGTTACTTTATTTCTGAAAAGCTGGATTCGTAATCGTCCTATATTTATGAAAGTGGTCCTATATTGTCCTATATTTCAGACATTTGTCCTATATTTGCTGTATTTTGGGTAAATAGGGAAACACATTTGCCGCTTGTTTCCGCAAAGAACACGTAACCCATTGTACGTATTATTTCTTGACTGTTGTATTTGTATGACTATGACTTGTATGACTCTTTTTTGAAGAGAATAATGAGTATAAAATTGCTACAAAGTACATGATAAGATTTTAATTAAATCTTTCACACATCATCATCAGTAAAATGAACATAGGAAGAAAAGATTACTAATTACATAGTCTGCCAATGTGAGTATAAGACAAAGAAATTAAAGGAACAATTTTGCTAGTAGGAACAACGTGCCAGTAAAAGTATCTATTGAGATTGCACTAGATATGTTATATAAAAGAAAATAGCTGATATATCCTTCTGTCGACAACAAATGAAAAGACTACTAGAATTAGCCGTTTGTGATATACTATTGAGATTTATGAGTAATTATTACGTGCAATCTGATGGAGTAGCAATGAGTTTACCACTTGCACCAATACTTGCAGACCTATTTATGTCAAAACTCGAAACTAAGTTAAACAGATTTTCTAGCAGTAAACCATTACTATGGCTTCGATACATGGATGATATATCTCGCAAATTCACAACAAAACAGAATATTAACCATTTTTTTCCCTTTGTGTGTTTTTTTGTGAAGTAAACTTCATGGTATCGACATTTTCATCGATTTAAACACATATTCATATTCAATTCGATCGATGACCTACACAGAGATGGCCTCAGTGATACTCTGGTGTTTTTTCACCATACTAAACGGTGTTGGTTTAGTGAAAAGAGACGTCCTATATTATTAGAGAAGTCCTATATAAATTCTTTTTTCAAATCCTATATTTTTAGGAAGGGCTGGTACGAACCCAGCTGTAAAGTTATTATGATTTTTAATTGATATCTAAAATAATTTATCTTGTAGAAACTTTATTCCCTATATGGTGTGTGTATGATCTTTTACTTGTTAAACGAATATAACAATCGAATATCCTTCAGTTCAGCAACAATATCCAGTTCAAGTAATTAACATGAAATTTCATACAAGCTGCGTAAACGACGCGAGGTTCGTCAAATTTAATAGCCTCTAATTATTAGTGCATTAGTAACAGTAGTTTATTCGTTCACCTATATAAAATATATAATTGGTAATCTAATAGTCTCATATGAAGATTAATTAAAAACTTTAAACACGATACTAGGAGTCATAATATTTATACAAACAGTGAAAATATATAAAATTATTTTAAAAATAAACTAGGCTCGACCGGCCAGTTTAATTTATCATCCAGTCTGGCCTGAAAAAACTAGTTGTTACGGTACCGTTCCAGGCATTCTTTCCAGTCATTAAGAACCGACTAATAATTTTCTTTTTGTTTCAATCCAAAATCTAATATGTCGGATATTAGATTCGAAAGTGTTTTTCGATTCAGTGAACTTTCATCGAAAAGTCAGTTTATTGAAAACTTTTTAACTGATTTTAGTAGATACTTAAGCAGTTTTGTCCTAGTAGTTTTTCGGTGCGCTGTTATGACTTTTGTCTCGTTCATACACAATCTAAGATCAAGGTTTTTACTACACTCTGGTTAAAAATCGAGATGTCAATCTTTTTATGATGAACCGCTTTATGATAAAATCTCAAAATATTCAAGATATGTCAACGAACTGACAATATATGAAGGGTCAGTACAGTCTCATACATCACTATTCAACCGAAATCTTTTCTTGGTACTTCATTCCAGTAAAAGGTTCTTGTCAAATATTTTCTATACAACTAGATATTTTTTTTTCTATAAATGAATATTGTGTGCAATAGCATGAAACTGTTGTTCAACACTAATATATAGATTTTTGATCAAATTCAATAGACGCTTATTGTGATCAGCATATCTTTTTTGTTGATTTTTCGATTCTTGACCAGTATTGATCTGCACAAATTTCAAAATCAAAAATGATTCTTCAATTTTCCATTTGGTCAAGAACGCCGAAACCGTTGGATGATTACATTGAAATGCTCGATGAATACGATTGTGATATCCCTCAACACTGTTGTTGGTGCGAAAACTGATTTCGTTCATAAGAGAGTGAACATTCCAGAGTTCGATCAAAAATAGTAGTGGCTGGCGAGCTTTGTTGCGAAGTCGACCAATATAATTATCTTCCATATAATCGATAAATTGAGATCGATAAATTGTACTGCTATGCTACCATGGTATTCCTTTATATAAAACTTCGAAACCAGCAATAACTTCACCGGGAGCCAGAAATGTTAATGCAGCAAATTTATTTATATTATGCAAACACAGGCTCATTGTCATACCGTGCCTTGTGTGTTCATGTGAGGATCGGATATTATTTTGGGATTGTTGACTTTCCTGACATTTCAAATACACTTTGTTATTATAAGCTGTATCATGAATGCACAAATAACCGTCACGGATTAGCAATATTTTATTTTTAGATGTTTTTGAAAAACTAACAGGAAATCCGGCATTAGGAGTCGCCATGTTTAATAACGATAGAAAAAGTGGCAAAAAACACTGTTATTTCTCTTTCTAAAAAGGAGAATGTTTCCTTTCTTTTGGACACAGACGAGCACATGCTCTCTCTTTATCTCTAAATTTCAGACGTATAGCGATATTTTTAATATATGTAATCCGTTATTTTTATACACATGAGACATTTTCACTATCAGACAGAAAGAGAAACGACACATTTTGAAGGTGAGTAAAGCCGTATCTTATAAGTCATAAATCAATGTGTAAAACTAGTTAAATATAGAAATGTTATGTTAGTAGGCAAGTGATTTGCATTAGTTAGCTTCCATAGTTATCGATACCTACGAACTCTGGAACTAGAGAAAGAACCACAGATATGATTACAAAAACCAAAATTTCCGACTACATTTGATATACTTATGTAAGTCTGAACGCACTAAAGAGAATCTTCGATAAACTCACTTTTCGATGAAAGTTCGCAGTACCGCCGATCTTATACGAAATAATTTCTTGCAGAAAAAAGCGCGATTATATTGTTATCTTGAACACGGAACGAACATATCGGCAATGTTTTAAGACTTGTTATTGCGAAAATCTGCATCTCATAAAAGACATACACCAAATACGGTGAAAATGCAGCGTGAGCTGCAATGTCTTCATGTCTTCAGAAGAAAAACTCAGCACGACATCATACAACAATTTAATATGAATGAAAAAAGCAGAAAAAAAAACAAAATTTGTCTAATATTCATTAAAGAAAATCTTCAATGCCAATTCTTATTTACAAAACACATATACATGACTTAATCATTTACGAGGCCAATAGCGAGGTGTAGGAATGTCGTTCGTTGTTATGTATTTATATTTTCCCAAACGATCATCATAATCAATTTTGTTGCGTGCAAATATTAAACGTATGTCAGCATGTAAATAAAGTTTACCCGTTTGTGATGTGACGAAACTAGAACAAAAAAAGGAACAAAAATAACAGAAAAGAAAAATAACGGATTATGAATGCATAGAAGAGAGAGTATTACCGTAAATGTGCTAAATATCTTAAATTGCCTTTTGTTTGATCACCATTTTCTGCAACATAAAGTTGACGTTGACGAATGAAGGTCCGATGATCTGGAGGCATATCTGTTAAATCATATGAAATCAAAAAAATATGAACAACTGTTCGATTTGGATTGAATAGTGCCTAATGAACAATAAAAACAAAAACTTTTATTGAATTAGATAAATAAAAAGAAAAGTTCATTATATACCAGTTGTACTGTTCCTTTTGTGGGTGTGTGATAACCTCGTTTTGGTAATGAAAGAAGATTGACAAAGCCCTACAAAAAAAGACAGAATAAATATCTACCATGAGTCATTAAGAGGCTATAAGGGCGAAATAAAAAGTGGCACTATAATAAACTTTTTCTCAATCATAGTTATTTTTGATATCTACTAACTGAATAAATAAAAAGACGAGTTTCTAATATATAACTTCGCATTTACATTTCTGAGAACAAATAAGTCTGAACTTATATCAATCAAGCCTTTTATTTAGCTGGATCAGACATTAGCAAGACGAAATTTTCCATACTCTCTCCTATCAATTTTTCAGAAAATCACAGACACTCGCTCCTTCCTATTTTTTTCTCAAAAATTGCCACCCTATGCCTCTTCCTGCCTCATCAAAGTTTTAACCATTTAAGAACATTTTTTAGAATCACTAATGGTGCTCACGATCAGCAGGATATTGACGGGACAGGACAATCTCGCTCACTTCTGGACCTGCTAGAGCGGTATCTGAAGATTGAAACAACAAGGAAAACATCCATTTCATAAAAGACACGCACCAGATACGGTGAACATGCAGCGTCAGCTGAAACATTAAACCAAAATGCTGAGACTGGTAATATGACGTGTTTTGGAAGAAACAATCCACTTGCTCCAAGTTTAATGGTAAATCCATCGACTGTACCACACGGCAACATTTTCCCACTCAGCACTGATTCCTACAAAAGAAAAATTATTTTCTATTTTTTATAACAATGAACAACCAAAAACTTACCACAAAATTTCCACGAAGAAAGTTTGATGTTTCAACAAGTAATTTTTCTCGTGAACTATTACCAATTGCTTGTGAAATTTCGTGTTCATCATCAGCTTCAAATACACTGCACGATAATACACTCCGTAAAGTACGAGAATTTACAGCTCTTTTAGATACTGATGAAGAGTTTTTCAATGTTGTTAATGTCTTTGAAGGTTGTTGTTGTCCTGCGACTGGTGATCCTTGTCGTTGGTGTTGTTGTTGTAAAATATTGCCATTATTAAAACGAACTCGATTTTTATATAATGTTCGTATTGCTCGTTGATTTGATCGTTTAAAATCAATTTCTTCGGGTTGATTTTCGTTTTTCAGTTCATTATCTTTTTCATTATCGTCGCCACCTTTATCTTTGTTTGAAACTGGAAATTTCATAGGTATTTTTACTTTATCTGTAGGACTCATAATAAAATGTTCAAGTTTTTTTTTCATTTTCAATGCTGACACATCATCGTGGTTTTCCTCTTGATCATCATTATTCGTCGGCATATCGATATGAAGTTTATTTTGTTGCTGTGGTAATAAGCAGTTAAATGTTGCATTGGCCGAAATGGCAGTTGGTATTTGTTCCATATTTTTATCATTTTTTGCTAAATCATCATCATCACCATCATCATCATCATTCGTACGAAATTTCTTCTTTTTTGAACCACATGCACATGTTCTCGACAAATACGATAATATTCCTTCGTGATCTGTATTATCAAAGTTAGAACAAGAAAAACTCGATTCATCTTCTTGTTCGTCATCTTTATCTTGAAATAAATGTCGATAATTTGAATGATTAGTACCACCAATAGTAGCACCATTGATTGGAATTGGTAATGATCGTGGTCGTTTTTGGTTTTGGTACAGTGATTGTTGTTCTTCATCATCACTGGCACCAACTATAAATTTTGTTGTATTGGAAAATTTGAGACATTTTGGACAACAAACACCGCTGATTAAATTATTTTCATTCTCTAATGCTGGTGTTGTCGCTATTGGTGTTTGTGATGTGGTATATGAACTTGGTGATGATGAAAGTGATGATAACGGAGAATAAGTATAGTTATTATCGTTTTGTTTTTTAATACTAAGATCGTTTAATTGTTCGACAAGGCTGTGAGACTGAATCTTCAAATCTGGAATTGGTGGTGTTTGAAAAATACTTTGATTGTTATTCTTGTTGACTGTACATGATAAGGATGCTGCTTTTGATTTGAACGGTGTAAGAGGCGATAAAGGACAAGGTAAAAATGGCTGTTGAAGATCCTCTTCGTCGTCTTCACGTGTCGAAGTGAAAAATGATGCTAAATTTTCGCTAGTTTGTGCTGAGCAATAGCCAGATGAAGTTCGTAAATGATTTGGACTTGACTGATTATTTGAAGAAAAATAAGACGATTGATTATCACTGTTTAATCTGGTAAATGGCGATAAATAACTTGAAGATGAATAACCTGATGTTGGTGATGATTGATTGCTTTGTACATATGACGCTGATGACTGAAGTAATGGACTGTTCAAATGACTTGAAGAATGTATTGATGATAAACTGGTCTTAATGCTTGTGTCAAAATAATTTGAATGACCTTAAAAACAATGAAAAGAAACTGAAATATTAGAATTCTCCTATATCACGTTTGCATTATGAAACGTCTGACTCTTCGTACATGAGTTGTATGCTTTTTTAGGCACCGCTTATTCTACCTCTAGTCTGCTGAAGAGCACACGGCTGTTCTTTTACCTCCTTTATTGGACATTACAGATGATGCTGGTCTTTCTCCGCTGACTATTGCTGAATTTGTATCAGATGATTCCAGTAATGATTGAAATTCGCTGTGCTTTCGGTTAAGTGGCGTCGATGTTTGAGGAAAAAGTGATGATTCATTGCAATCTGTTGTTGATCGTCTGAATGGTACTGAACGACCGGGTATTATTTGCTTGAATTGTTGTTCAATATCATCATCAATTCCTGTACAATCAATTGGAACATTTAAATTATCAATAAAAAACTGTTTTGTTTTAGGATGGGGCCTTTTGAAATTATTACGATCAATTTTTAGACGTGAAACGGGTCGTGTTAAATAATCATTGGAACTAGAACGTCGTTTATTAGTTATTTTCAACTGTAATGGTTGTTTTCTATAACCAGTGTTTGTTGGTCTCTCATCGATATCATCATTCATCGATAATTGAAAAGTGTTATTACATGTAATATCTGATGAATCTAGTTTTGAACGTGGAACGGATAATGAACGTTGACCTTGGAATAGTAATGAAACGGTTGACTGTTGTGGCTTTTCGTGAGAACTACTAGTACTACTACTACCACCACCATCACCAGTACCAAAATCTGACAAATCAAATACCATTGGAAAAATTAAATGAACTTGTTCACAATTTTCTTCTGTAGTAAATGTTGAAGAATATTCGTCACCACCGGTTAAAAGTCTAAAAAACAAAGATAGCTATGAGTTTATTTTTGCTTTCAGATGCCACTACAAATCTTAAAAAAACGTTTTCTGCTAAAAGTTATTCGTTTAATTCCACTGTTACATGCACCATACTTCAGCTGCCATGTCTAATGTGATCAAAGATTAATTTTTTTTTCTATTACTTGAGCCATGCTGAAAACTCGGTATCGGATTATTACTCTTGAATCATGATCATACCAGCAATAGCGTGTTAGTTAAAAGATATCGTTGATTATGACGATTGGTCCAGAATAAATGTCCCATTCAGTATTTCTCAATATCTCGATTAAGGTTGATCGCCAAGTCTTAATCTTTTTTTAAAAAGATTCCTCATTCAGTTCTCTGCACAAAAAATATTAAACATTTCTTTATATACTATAAGAATAAAAAAATATAGATGAAATACGGGAAAGCTTCAATACCGATTACTTTCAAATCCAAAGCGGAATAAAAAGATATGTATTTTGAACACGGTGCTATGCATAAAAGTGGAATCGAAATGTATGCTCTGGTGCCCCGTAATGTCACCTTTCTTTTCTTGTACCATAAGTTAGCTACAAACCTTTTTTTCTGCCACGAGCAAATATTTTACGAAAAGTAAAAAAACGGGAAAATTTGATTTGTTCGCCGTGGCACAGGAAACGAAATGGGGCTGTTCGACTTGCTCTGTTCGGATGTAACAGAATAATTATTTTGCTTTAAGATAAACCAGATCTGACATCATAATATGTGGTTTTGATCAAATCATACAAATTTTCTTAAGTGCCTCAAAACTGCAGTTAGAAAATGATGATTTGGGACAAAATCGCTAAAAGAAAAAAAGGTTCTCCTGCAACCGCTTGATCCTCTGAAGTGTCTTAAATATGGCCAGTCGATAGGGCTTTTCGAGAACTATAGAATGGCTATTTTCTCTTTTTTTATATCGCAAAATATAAGGGGCTGAAATTGAAAAACCTGTTTTTTGGATTTGAAAGCAATTGATATAGAAGCTTTCCCGTATTTTCTCTATATTTTTTATTCTTATAGTATATAAAGAAATGTTCAATATGTTTTGTGTAGAGAATTGAATGAAGAATCTTTTTAAAAAAAGATTGAGACTTGGCGATCAACCTTTACCGAGCTATTGAGAAAATACTGAATAGGACATATATTCTGGGCCATCCGTTATTAGTAGTTTAAAACGTGCTTTTTCTCTTAAGTATTGATTTGATTTTTATCTTTTTCTTTTCTATTGTCGATTGTCGGTATTTTTTTTCCTAAACAGGATAATGAAAAAAGTGAGGAAACCTTGAATGTTACCTGTATGATACATCTCCGGCTGTTTTACATTTGAATATTTCAAGCCATTTTTGTAATGGTGAAAACTGGATGAGATGTTGTAACTGTTTATGAAAAGACTTGTAAAGTTCGTCAAAATTGAATAAGGAAAATTCGTGTCTGAAACAAAACAAGATAAACGTTTGGTCACAAAATCAAAAGACCAAAGTACAAGAAAAATAGTTTCTGTATTTGTTTATAATAGTTTATGACGTTTTCTAATAATAGAGCAATGATTACTCATTAGTGTACTCTTTTAGAGACAATGAAAAAAATAAAAAAGAATGATTAAAACTCATATGAATTGATATATGAAAGAAAAATGTTATGATTTCACGTACTTATCCGAAATTGATTAACATACAGAATATCATTTAGATTAGGATCATATTTATTAATTAGTATAAAAAATAGTATAAAACTGAACAAGCTAAACTTTGGGTTACCATGAGACAAATTTACGTATATTGACGATTACGTTTTCTCTCTTTCTTTGCGTGCAAAAAGTGACATGGACACAAAAATAGAAATATTCAAACAGATGATAAAAGCAAAAAAATGAGAGGTATATAGTTTGAATAGTATTTTAATATAAATAAAATAGACATTCATATATTCATATATATATATATCTATACACAAACACGATCGTGTCGTCGTTATGTATAACACACATACAACACTCTTTCATTGCATCAGATTTCTTTCTCCCTTTTTTATTTTTCTCTCTTTTCATGTGCGACCAACTCCACACCCACAAAAAGTCTGTTTGATGATGATAAAAATAACTTTTTTGATTAATTAAACTTTAATGGATCTAATATATCTACTCTATTTTAGTATATAAATGGGCGGTTATTTTTTAGTTTTTTTAACCACAAAAAAGAAAAGACGACTCTTTGTATCTACAAAAACAACATCATAGTTCTAACTGCAGATAAACATATTACTCCTTTTTTCTTCTTCTTCTTTCAAAGACCGAACATATGGATCCATAAAAATAATGTTCTATATATCGGACTTATTATTCTAATGTTGTTGTTGTTGAACAAAATCCTTGGTATTTTTTCATATGTAGATACATATTCAAGGACAAATCATGTTTTGGTATTTACGTTGAAAGAGAGAGAAAAAGATGAAGACAGAAGAAGAGAAAAATATAAAAAAAACAGAATAAGAAATAAAGAATTTCTTCGTGTGATTAAAGAAACACAAAAGAGAAAAAGTAAATGATTGCTAACATTTGACAAATTTTACACAGTAGAAAAACTAATTTGAAGCAAATTGTTCTATCATTGTTGCTAATTTTTATCAATGTTAACTGCTGTACTGAATAAACAATATCCTTCACAGAGTAATAAAAAATCAAGGACAAATTTTGAGACACAATTGCTTTATCTGTTTACGTAAAAAACTTTTTTTTGTCGTCTTATATTTCAGAAGATACTCGAACAACAAAGCAAAAAAATGATAGAGTTCATTCGGAAACTGGTGAGTACTCTTTACTCTCGTTGCAGAGAGAATTGACGCAGAATAACTAAGATCAATCATTGCATATAGTCGACAATTGAAGAAAATTGTCGGATTTTTTTTATGATAACAAAAGTCTATTTGTAAGATAAATTCATCTCTCTCTCTCTCTCTCTCTCTCTCGTTTCACTGAAGACTATAGTGAATCAACTTGTTTTAATAAATACGATCCGCTTTTCTCTCTTTGAAGTGAACAATGGCTCGTCATTTTTAATAAAATTAGCGATAAAATTAGATTTTATTAAGCTTACTTTTTACATAAGAAAAGAATGGTTGTTATGTGATGTTTCGAAGATAAACAGTTAGTTTTTAACATCAAATTCATATTATTCTTATTTAGAATTTAGATTTAATAGCAAACGACTCACCTGGTTAAGTATCTTTAATTAATAAAATCACGTGTGTGAGTATTTGACGTTTGTTTGTTGTATTTTGAGTATTCATTTTCTTTTCCTCAGGAGAACGGAAGAAAAAGTAAAGTAACCATATATATTATATAGATAAATAAATATATATATATAGATATATAGATATACATGTTTTTATGTACCAGATAAACCGAAAAAAGAAAAGAAAAGTAAATTTCTATTTAGTAAGACAAACATTAAAAATGACATAAATATTCTCAAACAAAATGTTATTGAATTAAAAGAATATTTTAATCTTATTAGTTATAAATGAGATCATCTATGTTTAAGAACGTTTACTATTATCACACGATTATATTTTAATTTGAAAACATCTGTGACGAGATATTGATGTATAAGTGATGGTCCTAGTGATTATTATTAATTAATTTTCAACCTTTATTCATTATTATATAAAAGTTTATGATTTCTTGTAGATCATATTCTAATTTACCATCTATTAGATCCTAGAAACACGGTAAATCATGTATGACTGTTATCTGTAAAAGAATAGAATTCATTTATCTATTTCTTCTCCTTTTCCCTAACTGACTTCACTACAAAACTAGAATAGTTTGTACTCGTTTTTATTATCTCTAATGAAGAAGGATATGATGAAATAGGGACGATATAGATAATTCAATATAAAAAAGGACAAAATTTATCAAAACAAAGGGAAAATAATCATTCTATTTTATATAACGATTATCATGTTAGTATTGTTCTTACTAGAGCTCAGTATTCACATTTGTACACCATTATCATTAAATTGATTTTTTTTATTTCTTCTATGCATTCATTCACTATGAGTATAGAAAAAAATGTGGTATTATTTTCAACAAGTGAGATTTGTCTCCTTGATTTGCTGACAGAATCAGACTTCAATACAAAATGTTGTATTCACTTTTTATTTTTTACTTCTATTTCAATAGTACTAGTATGTTAAGCTTTTATAATTCTTTAGTAGAACAATATTCATTTTACCTGTATGTTTTAAATTCGAATGCCCATCTTTCAATTAATTCATTGTTCTTCGAATGAATACAATATGAAAATATTTCATCATGTTCTTTTTCTCGTTCACAATAATAACAATCCTTCTTAACAAAAACGTCGATAGTAAATGGAATACGATTTTGAAGTATGTTGCGTAATCTATCTTTTAGATAACTGACTATTTGACACTAAAAAACAAAGAAAAGAGATAAAAAAAAAAATAACTGGATGATTATAAATGAGATGTAAGATGCACCCAGGGCAGCCTTGCAGTGAAATTTATTTTTCGACACTTCATACACCATTCGATAGAGAATTTCGCGGTGATCACGAATATCACTTCCAA